TCATGGAACTAAAAACTGACACAGTTTGGCGCGAACACCGCTGAAGCCGCTGACCTCCCTTCTTGTTCGGTGGAAGTGCACGAACGGCCCGGTATTCGGTAGTTGTACCTGACTGCACTATACCCCAGATAGGAATCCCATGGAGCTCATTCGTATGAGAATTGACTTTGTGAAGACTTTGGCTCCATGGCGATTAAACTGTATTCGTGTGGTCTGAGCGCCATTCGCTTAATAATGTGCGCTCAGACCTGAGCTATCTGGGGATATGTTAAATGTATAGTTTTATTGTAACTTGTGTCACATAGTGTATTTTAATAGTCATTCTTATTTTAGTATCCCCACGTGCATAATGGCGATTTGCCTTTGTCCTGGGAGATAATTGAATTACTTCTCAATTATCTCCAGGGCAGAGGGGAAGAAGCCAGGATGCATTGTGGGAATATAATGTGACTGTGTGTCCTATTTTGCTGATTGTCTGTCTTTTGTCACAGTCTCCCATTTGGTCCCCTAGGGGAGTGTCCACCAGGTGGGAGACCTGCATAAATACTGGGCAGGTAGCCCTCATTAAACAGACCACTGCTTGTCCCTTAACACGGAGCCTTGTCTCGTCTTTGGGGGGATTTACTGTATGCTGATAGAGACTGAATGCTACAAGTGTAAGCCGCTTGGGTGCTTTTCCTATTCGTCTGCTAGCAGCTATTCGTTTGGTTCCAGTTCGGGAGTTTGGAGTGCTATATTGTATGCAGTTCGGGAGACTGGAGCATTCCCTTATTTGCGGTTCGGGAGTTTGGTGTCCTACAGTAGCTGTGCCTGCATCTCTGAAAGGGGAAGATCGCCTAAACGGTTTTAACCCCTTGTGTGCTGAAACGGTCCGTTACAAGTATATTGATTTGGAATATAAAAGTAGTAGTTTTAAGGGTGAGGGTGGAGTTTAAGGGGTTAAGAAAATGCAGAAGTGTGCCCACTAGAGGTAGTGTTTGCAGCTGTTGGAACTAAAGTTGTGTGTGAGATTCTTTTTACGAGGAGATGGGGTAGAGGTAAGTGGGTGAGGGCATCTGAGTTCTGTTTAGTTCTGAAACAAGATAACTTTTTACTAGGCTTTTTGCTTATGGCAGCAGAGCATCTGTTGGAGCTCTGTTTTGGAGTTCTGTTCAGTTCTGTGGCATATGTTCAAGGAATCAAATAGGCCACAAAAAAGTGATAGGTTTGCCTACAGTTTTTGTCCAACTCCCATTTATAGGTAAGCAACATGTGAGTCCTCTAAGAACTATGGTGTTACAGGTAGCACACCCAAACAATATTTAGTCACATGGACATCACAGATAGCAATGTAGAGCTAGAGCGTAGGATAGCTTTACACAGTCATTAGCTTTCACAAGGGGTATGCTCAGTGCCGGATTAACATAGGGGCTGATGGAGTTGCAGCTCCAGGCTCATGTCTATGGAATAGGCCCATAGATTTAAGAAAAAAAGTTCTTTTTTTTTACTACTCTTCACATGCTCTTGCTTAAGTATGGAAACGTAAGAGGGATGTAGGGGAACAAAACTGTTGTGGACTGGCTGACAATTAAATTAGTTAAGGTAAAGTAGACTTTGCGCATTATGCAAATGCTCTTGCTGCTTCAGTCTCTCTAACACAGGCCTGTAATTTATGGGGGTTTTTTCGTTTTTTTTTCTTTATTTGCTGTGATCCTTGTCAGCTGGTAGCACGGTCCTCTAGGGCAAAAACATGCACAGTCTTTTAATGCAACTTCATTCCAGGCACTTTATTTGTAAGTTTACATATGAGGCAGCAGCAAATGAAAACATAAATATAACAGGTTTCCCTTTAAACAAAAACCTAGCTCGTCTGAGCACTGACTCACTTTGAATAACCCTCTCTATCAGGGTTACACTAACAAAACATACTGCACCAACCTTATTAGATAGCAACATTCTGCTAGCTAGCCTGTTGCTTTTCTTTCTCCACTCCCAGTGCTCCAAGCCAGCCTTGCCCTGACTGCTTTCCTTTCTGCACTCCCAGTGCTCCAAGCCAGCCTTGCCCTGACTGCTTTCCTTTCTGCACTCCCAGTGCTCCAAGCCAGCCTTGCCCTGACTGCTTTCCTTTATGCACTCCCAGTGCTCCAAGTCAGCCTTGATTCTCTATCTGGAGAGAACAGCCTCTCTCCTACCTGCTTCCTCGGAGGAAGCCAGCAATCCCTCTCCATTACCTGCCTAGCAGGGAGGGGTTTATTCCCACTGCAACAGCTCATTAACTGCAGCTGAGCAGTGGGTTGGAGACGGTCCAAAAAACCCTGGCCTCGATCTACGTCCCAGAAAACCACTAAACTGTGGAGTGGAGCAATGGCCCACCCTTCTCTCCAAATGCTCCACCCCAGGGGCCCATAACTAAACAAAGCTTTGTGTTGTGCAACACACAAACTACATGTACTTCCCCTGGGGTTAAAAGGCCTATCTGCCTTCACTTTATCACATTGCATAAAGTCACGGTATATATATCACTGTTTTGTATACATAGAATATTGAAAAGTAACAATTATCTGTATGCGTCAAATACATAGAAAACAAGAATTTGTTGATAACAATTGTCTGTATGGTTTGTGAATCAAGATGTGTTGAAGTAAATACAAAAACAAAGAACAGAGATAACCCTGGTAGTATGGTATGGAGTGTATGTTGGAAGTTTTCCCTTTCGATTAGCTTGCCCATGCTTGCCCAAGGGTGCGTGTGGCATCCCCCCTCATGGGGAATGCTGAAGGTACGTGCACCACTAGGATATATTCAGCAAAAAGTCTTTATAGGTGGTACCTAAAAGGTATATGCTCAGCTCTTACAAAATTACAGCTCCCATGATGCCCATCAAATCTTAAAACTTTGTCTATTTTTGGTATTGTACACATTCAATTAAATGCTTCTCATTTATTTATTTATAAAATATTTTACCAGGAAAGATAGATTGAGATATCGCTTGTTTTCAAGTATGTCCTGGCTCCACAAAACATTGCATTGATTCATTAGGGTACAATAAAATACAAAAACAATATTAATACACAACATATACAAAATTTAACATAGAACAGGTAGGAAATATATAATCAACCATGACACGTGCATTCTGTTTTGCGATATGTAGAGAGGGATCTCTTCAGGACTTTAGGCTTGGGGAAGATTTGAAAGCGTGCGGGAGGTCGTTCCATAATCACGGTGCTCATCTTGTGAGTTACCACTAAGATGACTTTGTGACAAACGCTCTTTTCCACGGATGTTTTTGACAAACTCCTGGAGGAGTGTGGAAGCCAGCCTCCTGCCCACCGACTGTGGTCCAGATCTGAGACCCCATTCAGGAATTACCCTGCCCAGACACCATTAGCAGTTTCCTCTCGATGCCCCTGAGATAGGCAGACTAGATGGGCCAAATGGTTCTTATCTGCTGTCACATTCTATATTTCTATGGTTCGGCACTTTCCCTTCCCACAAATGGAACGGAATGCTAGCTCCCTGGCGGCTGTTCGAATAATTAAACCGACGAGCGGTTTTCAGCGGTAATTAGCCGTGGCCGCTATGGGACTAATTTCGGCATAAGGACTTTGTGGTTCCCAGGCAACTTGGTCCAGGGTTTGAACCACTTTGGACCCGCCAGAAGAGTGCATTTTTGAGGGAAGGTGTCTGAGACTAAGGGGAACAAATGTTCCCACGTGTGCTGCCGGTCAGAACTTTACCACGGTGTCTCTCCTATACTGAATGGATCTGAGCACTATTTGGACAACATGGGCACTCAGATCAGGGCTGTTTGGGGATATAGGACATGTGGGGTTATTGTATGTTTTTATGTTTTGGGGTAATTCTATGTTTTTATGTTTTTGTGTTTGTCTTTCTGTTCCTGGGAGATAATTAGCTTACCAGTTTTTATCTCAATTATCTTGCAGGCACAGAGATCTCTGGGAAGGGCTTACATTGAATACAATGGATACCCCATGCTGGGGGTCTGTGTATATAAGCAGGCAACTTGACCATAATAAAACAGTCAATCAAGTCTTGGCTGATGTTTGAGTATGCCAGAGTTATAATCACTGCTTCACTACTGGACCTGGGAGAATCTGTAGCAGAGGTACCACTCAGGATAAATGCGCTCCATTACAGACTTTAACTGGTCTATGTATTTATAATGTATTTTACCTCCTACACCATGTGTTTCTTTTTCCTCCTTTATCATTTCCAGTATTCTTTCCCTTACTTCTACTGTAACTTTATTACTTGGAATAAAGAAAACAATAATCACTAATTTAGGAACAAGGATTGGAAGAAGGCAGATGTGAAAATAAAATGAGGTACAATTTTTTTTTCATTTAGTGATCAACAAAGTACATTACTTGATGGTAGGATTTTGGAATAAGGGTATATTTTAATTTAAAAAATATTTTTATTTTATCTTGGCAGAGGAAGGTTTTTTGTATTATTTTGACAATCATTTTTACAACTGATTTTTTTTTACAATTTACAATATGCATATACATCAAACAAATGCATTAACATCCTATTGATTTGAGTTCTGTCTGTAGCTCTGATAGATTTCATGCCTTACAAAAAACCGAGAAACAAAGCTGGGTTAAGGTGTTTGGTCCTAAAAGGGGGCATGCCAGTGATGTAATTTGCCCAGGCAGTCCCATCAGAAAAGAATGCATGTCAAGTTGTCCATGACATTTGCATTGCAAGGGCAAGCCCCACTAATGGCAAATGGTCAGCAGTGCATTCCTGAAGCACAACTCAACACCCTGAACACACGTAGAGCTTGGTGATGCCCTTGCTAACAAAATAAATGCAGACTGCATGAGAGGAGCTTGAATTTAGGACTGTCCTATGTAAGGTTGTTCTTGGAGATGTAGTGTCATGCTTGCTTTCTTTTTGGCTGGATGGCACTGGGCTTCCATGTAGACATGATAACATCACTGAATTACAACTGGTGTCAAAGTATTTAAAAGAAGGCTGGCCAAGAACCAGCTGTGACGTGCAACGAACATACATATTACAGGCCAAAGATCTCACACTACAGAATGGATGTATTTTATGTGACAAGAGAGTTATGGACCATAATAGGTTACGTCAAGCCATGTTAAAACTCCATCATGAAGATCACCCTGACATTGTCAGAATAAAACATAAGGCTATGGGTCATGTTTGGCGGCTGTCCTTTTATAAAGACATTGAGGACTACGTGCTGTACAACCATGGGACCGCTAGGTGCTGTACAACCATGGGATTTGCCTAATACATCTGTGGAGAGACTACATTTGGACTTTCCTGGTCCTTTTGATGGAATCTCATACTTGATAATAATTGATGCACATTCTAGATGTCCAGTAGTCGTTCCAATGATACAAGCTACAACTACTGAAGTCATATCAGCATTAAAAAGATTATTCACAGTATTTGAATCACCAAGGAAATTGATCACAGATAATGGCCCCCAGTTTGTGTCACAAGACTTTCAGCAATATTTAAATAAAAATGGAATTCATCATCATCGGACGGTACCTTACCATCCTGCCACCAATGGGGAAGTAAATAGATTTGTCCAAACTTTTAAATTGACATTGAAAGCTCTAAAAACAGAGAAGCAATAGGAACATTTTAAATTTTGTACAAAAATATAGTTATTTAACACCCCACCATAGGAGTTGCCAAAGCTCAACTACTGTTAGGCAGAAATTTTATCAAACCAGATGTAACAGAAACAGCTCACATCATGCAAGATACAATGAGAGTGGGAAAACCTTTGCCGGCTTTTATAGAATGAGACTTGGTCTGATATAGAGTGCATCATAAAGATAAACAATGTGCACCAGGAGTTGTTGTCTAGATTGAGGGCCTAAAGTGATAACTCAATCTGGTGTGTCGCCACCCTGTGAATCAGTTATGAACAAGGCTAGAGAGGAGAGAACAGGCTCGTGAGAACCAACAGATATCAAAACAATCAGATACCAACTTTTATATTTGGGGTGGGGTTTGGAATTACCGAAAAACAGACTTTTACTTAACTACAAATGAAGACTCAGAGACACCACCTGGTAATGAAGAACCCTGTAATCATGAGTCAGAAATTTTCTAACCAGTACGCCCAGGAAAGGAATATGTGTTGTTCGCTGTACTCCAGAGGTGAATCTTAGAGACCCCCTGAGAGACAACATACCATATACCAAGGGAACTTTCCACCATAGAAGAAACAAGAAGCAGCTCTCATGTCTACAATACAAGAGGAAGCTACAGATGACTCATTTATTGTGTTGTTTAAGTTGTTGTTATGCAGTGGAAAGGCAGCGGGAGATTAGAGAGGTCAATGCGTGTCTTAAGTCTTGGTGCAGGAAGGAGGGTTTGGGGTTTTTAGAGCACTGGGCCGACTTTGCGATTGGGTACAACCTTTATAGTGGTGATGGATTGCACCTAAACGGGAGAGGGTCTGCAGTGCTGGGGGATAGGATGGCTAGAAGGTTGGAGGAGATTTTAAACTAGTAGTAGGGGGGGAGGGTCATAGCAATCTACAAAATGTTGATAGGACAGAAAGGAGATGGGCTTTAGCACAGTATAAGGGGGGTGGAAACGGGGGGAGGGGCAAGCTCAGAACAGAGAAGCCGTGTAATGTTGAAAATTCACAAAATATACAAGTGACGCATAATATTAAATGTATGCTTACTAATGCAAGGAGCCTAAATAACAAAATGGGGGAACTAGAGGCATTAGCATACACTAAACAATATGATATAATAGGCATAACTGAAATATGGTGGGATGAGACACATGACTGGGCAGCTAACTTAAATGGGTGCATGTTATTTAGGAAGGATAGGAAAAACAAGAAGGGTGTTGGGGTATGTTTGTATGTCAAACATGATTTAAAGCCAAATGTTAAGCAAATGGAATGCGAGGAGGATAATGTGGAAGCTTTATGGGTAAATATCTGCTTGGGGGAAAAGAAGGGAAACCAACTATTGGTTGGGATATGTTATAAACCACCTAATGTTAATATTGACGAGGAACAACAGCTGTTTGAGCAAATTGAGAAAGCTGCAAATCTGGGTAACACTTTCATTATTGGAGATTTTAATTACCCGGATATAAATTGGGACAGAGGGACTAGTGCATCAGCAAAGGGAATTAGGTTTTTAAACTTGTTAAATGACACCTTCATGTCACAACTTGTACAAGCACCAACTAGAATGGATGCTTGTCTGGACCTGGTTTTAACAAACAACGTTGATCTTTTGACCAACATTCAAGTAGGTGAGCACTTGGGAAATAGTGATCACAATATAGTGTCCTTTGAAATAAACTCAAAAAAACAAAAGCACATGGGGAATACTAAAACATATAATTTTAAAAAGGCCAATTTCAATAAGTTAAGGGAAGCTTTACAATATATTGACTGGCATAAACTCTTTAGTGAAAAGAACACTGAGGATAAATGGATCATCTTCCAACAAATATTACAAAGGTACATTTCTCAGTATGTACCGTTGGGAAATAAATATAAAAGAAACAAATTAAAACCAATGTGGCTTAGTAGAGAAGTAAAACAAGAGATTACAACTAAGAGAAGGGCATTTAAAGCATTTAAATCGGACAAATCAGATGCATCTTATAAAAGATATAAGGATGCAAATAATGCGTGCAAAAAGGCAATTAGACTTGCTAAACTTGAAAATGAAATAATGATAGCTGAAGAGAGCAAAACCAACCCCAAAGCATTTTTTAAGTACATAAATTCTAAAAAAAAACAAAATGAAAGTGTAGGTACACTAAAAACTGAAACGGGGGTGTTAATTAATGAAGACCAGGAAAAGGCAGGAATTTTAAATAACTATTTCTCCTCCGTATATATTAAGGAAGAACCCATGGCAATAGATGTGCAAATGATTGCTACTAAAAACTTGCAGAATAATTGTAATTGGTTAACTCAAGACAAGGTGCTGAAGCAACTAAAGAAAGTTAATATAAACAAAGCTCCAGGGCCTGACGGTATCCATCCAAGTGTACTTAAGGAACTAAGTGCAGAAATAAGTGAACCTCTGTTTTTAATCTTTCAAGATTCTTTTCTTTCAGGAAGTGTTCCGGAGGATTGGAGGAAGGCAGATGTGGTTCCTATATTCAAAAAGGGTTCAAAATCCTTGCCTGGAAATTATAGACCTGTGAGCTTAACTTCTGCTGGTAAAATATTTGAAAGGTTATTAAGGGATAATATTCAAGAATTCCTTGAGAAGAACATGGTTATCAGCAAAAATCAGCATGGTTTTATGAAGCACAGGTCATGTCAAACTAACTTGATTGCGTTCTACAAAGAAGTAAGTAGAAGTATAGATCAGGGTGTTGCAGTGGATGTGATCTATTTGAATTTTGCCAAGGCATTTGATACAGTTCCACACAATAGATTAGTGTTCAAACTCAAGGAAATCAGTCTAGATGAAAATGCTTGTTCTTGGGTAGAACATTGGCTTCAAAACAGAGTACAAAGAGTTGTCATTAATGGTAAATTTTCAAGCTGGACAGAGGTGGCAAGTGGTGTCCCTCAGGGGTCTGTTCTGGGACCCCTTCTATTTAACATGTTTATAAATGATCTTGAAGACCGCATTGAAAGTCATGTTTCAGTGTTTGCAGATGACACCAAACTTTGTAAAACAATACAATGTGAGCAAGATATTACTTTGCTGCAGAGGGATTTAGATAGACTGGGGGACTGGGCACTCAAATGGCAGATGAAATTTAATGTTGAAAAATGCAAAGTTATGCACTTCGGCGTAAAGAATACACAAGCAACGTATACCCTTAATGGAAGCGAATTAGGGATAACAACACATGAAAAGGACTTGGGAATTGTTATAGACAATAAACTATGCAACAATGTGCAATGTCAATCAGCAGTGGCCAAGGCCAGTAAGGTATTGTCATGCATGAAAAAGGGCATTCATTCTCGGGACAAGAATATAATTTTGCCTCTTTATAAATCACTGGTAAGACCCCATATTGTATATGCTGTGCAATTTTGGGCACCTGTTCTAAAGAAGGATATTATGGCACTAGAAAAAGTGCAGAGGCAGGCTACAAAATTAATAAAAGGAATGGAACATATCGGCTATGAAGAAAGGTTAACAAATTTAAACCTATTTAGTTTAGAAAAACGTCGCCTGAGAGGGGATATGATAACATTATACAAATATATTCGGGGCCAATACAAACCATTGTGTGGAAATCTATTCACAAACCGGACTTTACATAGGACACGAGGCCATGCGTTTAGACTGGAAGAAAGAAGATTTCGCCTAAGGCAAAGGAAAGGTTTTTTTACTGTAAGAACAATCAGGATGTGGAATTCTCTGCCTGAAGAAGTGGTTTTATCAGAGTCCATACAGATGTTCAAACGGCTACTAGATGCATACTTGCAAGAACAGAATATTCAAGGATATAATCTTTCAATGTAGGGTAATAACTGCTTGATCCAAGGATAAATCTGACTGCCATTCTGGGGTCAAGAAGGAATTTTTTTCCTAGCTTGTTGCAAAATTGTGCTTCAAACTGGGTTTTTTTGCCTTCTTTTGGATCAACAGCAAAAAACAAATGTGAGGTAGGCTGAACTTGATGGACGCAAGTCTCTTTTCAGCTATGTAACTATGTAACTATGTAACTATATATATATATATACAGTGAAGGTAAAAAGTATTTGATCCCCTACTGATTTTGAACATTTGCCCACAGACAAAGAAATGATCAGTCTATAATTTTAATGGTAGGTGTATTTTAACAGTAAAAGACAACAAAAATAAAAACCAGAAAAATGCAGATCCTCTCCAAGTCATTAAGGTCTCGAGGTTGACATTTGGCAACCTTCAGCTCCCTCCACAGATTTTCTATGGTATTAAGCCCTGGAGACTGGCTAGACCACTCCAGGATCTTAATGTGCTTCTTCTTGAGCCACTCCTTTGTTGCCTTGGCTGTGTGTTTTGGGTCATTGTCATGCTGGAATACCCATCCACGACCCATTTTCAATGCTCTGGCTGAGGGAAGAAGGTTCTCACCCAAGATTTGATGGTACGTGGCCCCGTCCATCGTCCCTTTGATGTGGTGCAGTTGCCTGTCCCCTTAGCAGAAAAACACCCCCAAAGCAAAATGTTTCCACCTCCATGTTTGACGGTGGGGATGGTGTTCTTGGGATCATAGACAGCATTTCTCCTCCTCCAAACACGGCGAGTTAAGTTGATGCCAAAGAGCTCGATTTTGGTCTCATCTGACTACAACACTTTCACCCAGTTCTCC